GGGGGGGGGGGGGTAGGAACAGAAGAGAATGGCGTTTATGAAAGACAGGAGGGCAAGAGTTCTGCTGAGGACGAGAACGATGGAGAAAAAGGAAAGGCGGAGGGTCATGATAGGGAAGACCGAAGGAGCGAATATAGCCATTAATGGAGCCACACCAGGAACAAAATAGAAAATCTCAACAGACAGAGTGGCAGTGCTGGAACAAACAACAGACAGAAAAAAATAAAAGGAAGACAAAACAAAATCAATGGGAGAGGGCAGAGTGGTGATAGGATGACGAGGATGCGAGAGCATTTAGCGATCAAACCACCAGAGAAAAACTTGCGGCTGTGAACAAACCAGCGGAAGAGTATTTCATGCGTTGAGATTCAGAGAGCGATGAGTCTACCATCTGATCATGTAATGTTTGCAGAAAACCTCAACTGATCTTGTCTTCACGGATGGACACGGAGGAAACTGCTCCAGGATCCCCTTCTACCATCTCGGTATTCTCTCTATACCGAGTCAACCATCTCAACTCATACCTTCCTCTCCTCTCACTCCCTCACAACCAGCTCCATCTGGAATTCTTCTAATCTTGCTCGCAAGGACGACTTGATGGAATTTTCCGACGATGACCGGGTCTACAACGTGAACATCACCGTCGACAAGGAATTAGTAGCCACGATCAACAACGCTCTTCCTTCCTCCAGCTCAAAGCGTCAAGCTCCTAAGACGCCGAATACAAGAGTCAGATCCAAGTCAAAGCTTGGATCCAACCCCTGTGCAAAAGCTTCTCCGCGCCGTGCCGCAGGTCGCAATAACTCAAGGACCACGCCCAAGACTCAGACCCTCCCTCCAATTTCAATGAAGGCAAACAAACTTCCAGCGAAGCGATCCATCGTCAAACCAAACACTCCTTCCCATGGTAATCCACTCGCTTTTCTATCCTTGAAAACTCGTTCCCCTCCATCGCCCTCTTGTCCTTCTCTTTTGCACCAGATTGAATGGGAAACCCATTTGACTGACCATCTTTTTTTCGCAGGAAGCATCAAGACACAGCGCAAAGCATCTCAGTCCTTGCAATACAGGGAAATTAAAATTCCATCATATCAGAACATCCTATATCCAAACGTCAAGAAGAATTTGTCGAGCAAGATCTGCGCTCTTTCTCGAATTTTGACACAACTTTGCGATCAGCGACTTGTCGAAGCGTCGCTCAGCTCAAATTCGCCGCCTTTTCCTCTATTTGAGATATCCGGTCAGCCCTGGAACCAATTGAAAATTTTGAATCCAGATACAGCCTGGAAAATCTTACTCGGATGGACTATCAGAAGCAAGCTGTTCAAACACAACAAGATAAAGGGGAACAATGATAGAATTCTATACGAGCTGTTCTGGAGCCTCGGGCTGAAAGGCTACAGCCCTAGCGAAGGCTCAAAAGGCCTCAAATCACGGAAGGACAGATACTTCTGGTCAGTCGAAGAATGGAACCGCCGAGTTCCTCGCAACATGACCAACGGCATCGCCAACAGCAAGAATTGGAACATCAAGCCTGAGGTGGTCGACAGAGTCCAATCGTATGACTTTAGCAATATCAAGCTGGACACAGAGGAAACAAGTCTGCTGAGCGACGTGTTTAAGGAAATCCAGGAGTTTCGAGAGGGCGAGATTGAGGAAGACCCTTGGACAAAGTGAAAACCTCAGTAACGAAGCGATGAGGAGAATTCGCCTACATTCAGAACGAAAGAAAGACTAACTTCTTTCGAAAGCGGATTTCTGTGGAAGTATGTACAATGTTTTCCTGCTACACCGTCAGGATCTATGCCAGAGACACGTCTGTTCGGTACAAAGTAATTCGATCCTCAAATTCACCTCCGAGGACCCGAATCGATTCTTAATTTTTGTGACTTCTTAATTTTTGTTTTGATTTCTTGCTTATCTAGACACGGCTTGTGCACGTAATATTCTCAGGATGAGAATTAAAATAGAAATTTCAAGCATGGTCCCCGTCCGAGGCGTCAGGTTCCTTTGGAGGAGCTCGTATGGCAGTCTGCACGAGCTGATGTAGCTCAAGCCGGGATTCTTCTTCTGCATTCTGAGAGTCAGAGTTTGGAACGGCAGACAACACAGAGAATCTCATTGTCTTGCCTTCAGACTTGATTTCTCCCTCTGCCTCCAGCGCTTCGTCGTCATGCAAGGAACGGCTACCTTGAGAAGAAGACTGAGCCCTTGCTTGCTCCTCATCTTGCAACTCAATCTCCTTCTTCTTTCTCGTCCTCCTTCTCTTGGGAGTTTGCTCTTGTCCTTCACCCTGCTCCTTCTTCCTGGTCCCCCTTCGTGATTTCTGTACCCCCCCTCCCTCCTCCGCTGCCTTCCTCGCCGTCGGTCTTTTTCTCATTTTCTTGGAAGTCTCCTGCTCCTTCGGTTTACTTGCTGAAGGAGCGACGGCTGTGTCTGTGCTAGTGCCTTCCCCTGACCAGTCTTCCCCTCCCTGTCCTTTATCGATGCCAGAGCTATCACTCTTCACGAAGAGAGCCGGATCGAGTTCGTCAAGTTCACGAGGTGCCGCCACATCCTCCATGATGAAGTCCACGTTCTTGCCCACCTTGCCCTGGTCCCGGAGGTATCGTCTCTTTCTCTCCTTCTCCCTCTCTTCACTGCCAGATGCATCATCCCCATCGACGAAGGTCGTGAACTCGAGGGCTGTCTCCCCTTTGTGCCTGTCCCCTGAAGTATTGTCGTCAGCCTCTCTTCCACCAGTGTTCATTTCTGGCTCCTCTTCCACCACTACCCCCCCTCCCCCACCCCAATCCTCCCCTCAGAACCGTGACTTTTCTCCCAAGTACTCTCCCCTCCCCTCAAGTCCTCTTCGTTCGTTTCCTCCTTGCTTACCAAGGATCCCTGGCCTTCTGTCTCCTATCCATACCCGAGTACCATGGATTATCGTCTCCATCATGCTGATCGCGCTGTTCTCGCAGTCCTCCCCACTCTTGAAAGTTCCCTCTCCACCTGCCAGATAACACGTATGAGGGAAGAGGCGAGAGGACAGACGCTCACATGGCTTCACAAGGGAGGCGTTGAGCAACAGGCGGATGGTTCCGTCGATGTCGAACGCGATTCCATTGCTGCTCAAGGTGCTGGGAGGAGAGGGGAGGGAGGCAGAAAGGGGAAAACAAAGCTGTCAGCAGGTGGGTTCATCAGGGGGGATAGGGCTGAAACCTTTGAAAGAAGGACGCAAACGAGGCGTCTCGGATGCAAAGGGCACAGCCGAATTGTTCAGAGACAACTTCCATCTCCTGATCTGGAAGAAAATCTCATCAATCTTCCTCCTCCTCCCGAACTCCGCTCACTCTCTTTGGAGCCATCAGACAGGTCGATGCTCGACAGCTCACGGACTTCTGAAGCTTCTTCCTGCTTCTCCCCGCTCGGATCTTCACGGTTGTGGCCCTCCTTCAGCCAAGAAATCGATCCCGTGGTGTTGCCTATCTCGCACAAGGACGCTCTGGGCAAGAACAAAAGTCAGGAAGAGCCGTGCAGAATCGGCAATCGGTCGCACTCGAAACGGCTGCTGTCGAACATCTCGATCGCGCGGTAGGCCCTCAAGTCCCTCTCGTCCGACTCTCCTCCTGGCCAGCAGGAAGGGAACGTCAGTGGGGAGGAGAAGGAGCGGCAGCTGAAGAGCATGCGACCCGCCAGGGTCCTCACCTATCCCCGACTCCTTGACGACCGTGTTGGAGTACCACTGGCAGAACATCGCTACCCCGCCGTGGCTCCAGACGTGCACGCGCTCGAGGTACCATGGTCCCCCCTGCAACGTGAAGCATGCGGCCCTTGAAGTCTCCTGCACTCCTCGTGAGCCCAGACTCTGATGGAGCAGCAGCACATTGTCGCAAAAAGCGCCATGGCTGCCCTCCGTCATGCACCAGGAGCCCAGGAGGACACAGGGAACGCGCTGGGTCTCGTTGGAGGAGTTGGGGATCTCTGGACTAGGAGCATGCTCTCCTGCCGGAGGATCGGGGCCAGCCAGGACCAACCTCTGACCCTCAAGTATGAAAATCTGGCCGTTCCATTTGTAGATGCCGCGCCGGATCATGAGGGGCTCGCGGCTCGCGAGAGAGCTACTGACGGCTACTTTGATGCTTGCCATGTCATCGGGGAAGGAGATGCCATACTTCTTCCGTCCTCCTCGCAATCGGAGTGAGAGAAGTACTTGATTCTGTTGCATGCGATGGGCGATAGTTGGGGGAGGGGGGAGCGGGGAAAGGGGATGCCATGACGGATTGCCGGAGATGTTCAGAGCCAGGCAGAGGATCAGGATAAGTTGCGCCTTCGTGTTCATGTGGATGAGTAGGAGGAACACGCCAGGTCTTCAGGCAGTATTGGCGCTAACTTGCATTGGAGACTGTCCGGGCAGAGGGCGGATCTCGATAAAACAAGCAGGAGGGGGCAGACGAGTAGAGGGAGGAGGGAGGGAGCTGGTGGATCACGGGAAGATGATTATGAGATGAGAGGAGGGACGATCGCTGCCGTGCATATCGCCTCCGCCTCCTCCGCCTCCTCCTATTCCTCTCCCCTTCCGTTCGCCCATGGCGAATGAACTTTTCCAAACTTGTACCACCAAACTTTTCAAACAAACTTTGGACTTCGAAGTTTCCCAAGGCAGCCCGCCTCAGCAGGCCACATACCGGGCCGGTTTTTTCCGAAGTTCTTGTTGCTGCTTGTCAAGAATCTAACGGTCGCCGTCGGGGCGATGGCGGAAGGGAGGACGACATGGGGCGGGAGGGAGCAGCAGCAGGGGGAAGAGGAGAGGGAGATGATGCGGAGCTGAGTCAACGTTCAAGTTCTCATGAGGAGCTTTCATGATCCTCAACCATGCAGGATGTTGAGGGAGAGCGATATCACTCGCTCCTCAGGAGAAGCCATTATTAATAGCTACCGGCACAGCTTCGCCAGCTCAGTCACTGATGAGCAGCTCGCTGCTCAGGGCAAGGACAAGAAGGTGAACTGCCTCCTATGACATCAGGAGTTCTCCTGGCCTGACCTTGTTGCAAGACCGCTGCCGCATTCCATGACGACGGAGCAGACGAAAAAATTGCCAACACGCGCGATATCGAGATAGCAGAGAGAAGGATGAAAGACCTGCAGAGGGCCCCTAGCAGCAAGTCCCCGAGGCTTCTGATCAAAGAGACCCACCAGGACGAGAGCAGTGAGGTACATGATGTGATCTTGCTGCTGTCAAGTTCAACTTGACAAGTTGACGTTGGCCCTGGCAGGAAGACGGGTTGACAGTCGAGAAGCTGTTCTCTTGCCTGCACGGAGAGATGCACGTGCGTGTTGCAGCAGCGAAGACTCTGAGGGACGCCAGTTGCCCGTCCGGTCCTCCTCACTTCGCTGCCCTCCGTTCGTTGCTCCACACCCCCAAGTACAAAGTCCTTGCGATCCAGGTGACGGGGATAGGTGGTCGGCTGAGACCTGCACTGAGCCTGTCCTGCAGCATGCGATCGATGTCCTTCAGGGGGAGGACGAGTCGACCAAGGAGAGCGCCTTGGGCATCGTTCAGTTTCTCGCCAACCGCGGGGACAGGAAGGTCATAGGAGCGATGCTGGGTATGTTGACTTCTCCCTCCTGCCCTACCGAGCTGCGGGGGAAAGCGGCGCGAACCCTCTCCAACCTGGCGGAGCAGGACGACGCTGATGTCATCAGTGCCGTCTCGTCGCTCCTGCAGACCAAAGTGGACGCGAACGTGCCGGTGAAAGTGGAGGCAGTGCATCTGATAGCAGAGGTCTGCTCCCGAGGACATCCGCCCGCTGTGAAGATCTACCAGGCTGCACTGCGCGACCGCTCCTCGGCTGTGAGAGAGGGAGCTGAGGAGGGGCGGGAGGAGGCGGGGGAGGGGGAGGCACGATGGTGACGAGGCGATGGGTGTGCAGGTGAGGCAGGAGGCGCTCTCGATGATAGCGAGCATCGTCGAGCCCGGGGACTCCCAAATCATCGCCATGGTGATTGAACTGTGACATCGTGTGATGGGACCTTAAGGATCATGATTCCTCCTCCTATGGCTCATCCTCCTCCTATGAGTTCTCCTCCTCCTCCTCCTCCTCCTCCTCCTCCTCCTCCTCCTCCTCCTCCTCCTATGGCAACTACTACTCGCTCTCCTCGTCCAATCTCTCATTTCCTTGCAGGTTTCGGCTCTTATCAAGGATTCTGACCCCAGGAATCGAGTCTGTGCGGTCCAGGGGCTGCGGCAGGTGAGAAGAGTAGGAGAAACACAGAGAACGATCCTTCTCCATAGCTGCGAACGTGCCTTTCCCGTCGATGTCCTCCTCTCCTCCCTCCCTCCCTCCCTCCCTCCCTCCCTCCCTCTCCTCCTCTTCATCCTCTCCTCCATCTGCTCCCTCCCTCCCCTGTCTTGTCACCCTCTCCTCCTCCTCCCCTCTCCTGTCTCCCTCTCCTCCCTCCCCTCCTTACTTCGCTCCCTCACCGCTGGTGCTCTTTCTCACTGTCTGCCCGTTGCAAGCATGACGAAGTTGATCTACATGCCTGACCCCCCGCCTGCAGATCGCCCGGCAGGGGGACCAGACGGCTGTCGACAGCGTCTTGTACGCCCTGAAAGACTCCAACGTGCAGGTGAGGCAGAGAGGTGAGAAAATGACCGTGAGGAATTGACGAGGGGCCGGGGGGCGGTGAAGGTTCGGTATGCTGCTGTGGACACGATCAAGAAGATCATGAAGAAAGAAGGTGAGGAGGAGGAGAAGGAGGGACAGGAGGAGGAGGAACAGCAGGGAGAAGATGGATAGAGGAAGCCGAGGAAGAGGAAGAGGGCAAGGTGGATGAGGAGAAGGTGGAGGATCCACCAAAGAGAAAGGGGGCAGAAAGAATAGGAGAGTGGGGACATGAGGACAAGGGCTCCAGGATGATGAGAACGAGAAACCATAGTTGGACAGCAGAATGAGAGGAGGAGCTGGGAGCTGGGAGCTGGGAGCTGGGAGCAGGGAGCAGGGAGCAGGGAGCAGGGAGCAGCAGGGAGCAGGGGCACATGCTCCCTCCTCACATGCACTCTAGAGCTTCAGGTCATCTTCCGCAGCCACGGGCTGCTGGCCAACATCGACAAGCACAGGCTGGAGGACGTGAGGTGAGAGAGGTCACGTGACCCACCAGATGAGCTGAGAACTTCTGCTGGGGTCAGTCGCCAGCTGGTCCTGAACTGGAAGGGGGGAAAGGTAGGACGAGGCTCCTGCTGCGTTCGACTGATCGTCCTGCCCTAGGTGAACGAGTGCTTTGCAAGCTGGGTAGAGCACCACAAGCAACAGAGGTAGAGGGAGGAGGAGGAGGAAGAGGAGGAGGAGGAGGAGGAGGAGGAGGAGAGTTGATGACAACAGGAGAAGAGGAGGAAGGAGGGAAGGGGGG